ATTTATATATATTTATTTATATTTAATATATATAATAAAACAAAAATTTTTAGTTTTAAATTAAATATAATTAAGATTTGAACTATGTGTGTGTATGTTTGAGAGCGGAAAATATTATTTAATATTTGAAAAATTAAATTATATACAGAAAATTACCCAAATTTCCTCATAAAAAGCCAGGCACGATCGAGATATCCGCCTTTGCAGCCCCTTTGCCCCCTATTATTGCAAGAGAGCAGATGCTGCGCGCTTAGCTCTACGCTTTCGGCGCCTTTGCTCATGATCGCGAATCTGTCGGACGCGACATCGGCCGTGGACATGGCCCAGGATGCGCCGCACCATCCTTGATCGCGAATGTCGGATATATCGCGTGGCCAGCGCGTTCTGGAGTTGAATTCCCGTGGCAGCGCGTCCGGATCGTAAATACGTCGCACCGGGTTCATTTTGTATACCTACGTAACCGAAAGAAATGATAAATTTTGACGGAACAGCCCTAGAATCTTTTACATTGCGGACCATTTTATTTATTTGTATATTAACAATTTTTTTTATAATTAAAAAAAATTTACACTTTTAGGCAACTGCTTTGGGAATAAGAGATTAAATCCAGCACTACTTGCAAGCGACGCGTTGAGTCTCATTCAGACGCTTTTTTTTATTCATAAAACCTCCGCAGCAAAGTACAAGAGATTACTTTAGCCATGGAACTTTAGCCTTAGTTGCATAAGCGAAGCAATTGACCTAATCTTTCAAGACAATTTCGCGTCTATATACAGTCATCGCACGTTTTAAGAACAAGGTTGTTTTATTTCAAAATTATCGAGCTGCAGAACTTGTTGCAATCCTCCTACAAATTTTTGATTTTATTTGCGATTTTTCAATTTATCTACTCTTGAATAATGTATATTTTACTCAGCTCAATGCATTTTATCATAATCAAAGTATAATGAAGATTTATTTTATTAAAAAATTATTATGTGAATATTTTACATTAATGTGCATAAAATTTTTTATCATGTAACAAAATTTTTAAAATACTTTTAACAATAAATACTTACGGATTGCGAAGGGTTGAGAGTACCGAGACGAAGCTGCACGCCGTCTTGAAGGGTTCTTCCCCAGAATTCGGAATAATTGCCCGCCTGCCATCCTAAGGTAGGTTCTTGCAAATTGATCTCCTCCATTAATTCCGGCTCGATCAAACATCGGTTCTCCTCGCAGAGTACTTCGGCGCGATTATCAAGCGAGGAGCATTTACTGCAAAATAGATTCAACTTATATACGATCTGCTTTCTCTCTCAAAAACCCGTTATTACACATTAAAGAAGATATTACCATGTGTTACAATTAACTTTTAACGTTTGTCCATCATTATACTCTCTCCCCTGGAAGAAACATCCTGAAATAACACAAAGAGAGATTTTTGTAGAGAATATAATTTATTATATTAATATTATATAAGATATTATATATAAAAAAAGATTGTATAATAAAATCGTAAACGATCTTATATGATTACTAAATATTTCTTTAGATTTATCTTTTCTCTGTGAGTAAATTAAAAATTCCTTTTTATTTATATATTTCATATATGAGCGTATATAAATAATAAATTTTTATATACATTTTATATAAGTATATACGCACTTCTTAGCTCCTCGGGTGGCGACGTGACATTCGGTTCGATCCCTTTGCAATGGTACCAGTAATCCGGGCAGCAGTCCTCTTCGCGGGATCGATCGCAAAAGTCGTCGCAGTAGCACAACGTTGTAAGGATCGGTGCGCTACATTCATCCTGTCGTCCCGGGCAGCATCTGCCCCCAGGATACCTCGAGGCGCAATATGGTCCTGTTGGCAGTCCAGAATAATCTGGGATGCCTCTCGCAATGGAAGGTAAGAATACGAAGACGATGAACACTAAATTCGGGCAGTGTACAGTCCACATCCTGAAACAATTATTATATTATCGATCAATATAAATTTTTTCGAAACTTTTCTTTTTATGTAAAGAAATCTATGTGCTATTTTTTTCTAGTTTATTATATTTATTAGTTTCTTCACTTTGCATGTTGTATTTTGATTTAATTTTAGTTCAATTTTTTATGGTCTCTTTTATTAATTCCGCGTAATTTTAAATGATGGCACCAATTCCGTGAGTCACGTAACTCGTTCAGGTGTGTGCGTGTAAGGTATGTAGGATTCGGTAACAGCTGGCAATTGACAACAATAACACTGCCAAGAGTTTGCAATGTTTTGGGCCGGCGAGACGCGTCATCCCGTCTGCTTTGGAACGACGTCAAGGCGTTGGCCGTTTAAATGCCACACGATTTGTCATCATACGACATTCTACAGAAGATGATGGAAATCTTTTCAGACTTGTGCAACTTGTGTCTTTGAATTTTAATGAGAGAATGATATTCAACTTCTAATTCTTCTATCGTATCCATTTGTACGAAAAATCCAATAGTGACGAGGCTATATTGTAGGAGTTCAATGAGTAAAATTAATGATATTTAATATATTCCATTTAATATCAATTCAATGCAATCAACGATATAGATTTATGTGAATATCTCGATTCCTTCGAGATAAAAATCTCTATAATGTTCAATTTTTCATTTTTTATTATTTTTTGTATTATTATTACAGATAGTCAAAACATCAATATTTAAAAAGACTTAATGGTTTAAGATCGCTTTGAAACAATCCATTCATTAGTAATAATTTGAGGCTTTTCGAAGCTACACTCAACATCTGTAACCGCACGATTGGTCCATGCATCATCTATTATGCATCACGTAACTCTAAAACGAGTGTCACTTGAATCGGCTGCATTATAATATTGATGAAATTTACCAGACTGGAACGAAGATCGTGATTTCAGCTTCCTGATGTCGAGCAGGCCGCATACTTGCGTAACGATACCGATTTTCTAGCTGATGGTACTTATAATTAAATTTAAATATACATGCGTATTCTTTAAAAATACACAATCGAACATATAAAATTCTATTCTTTAAAAGAAGCATCTTTTACAAAAAGAAAGATAAATGCAGTATTTAATCAGTAATGTGTGATTTTGAGGCGGTTTTTTATCTCATTAAAAATATTAAAAAATAATAAGGAAAGAATTCTCGTTAAAATAAAATCGATTTGAGATTAGTTGAAAAATCAAGATAAGAATCTGTAAAACAATTTTGATACATCAAACGCAAAATTTTACTTAACGATATATCACGCATTCTTCGTTCTACATAATTCCGAGAACCGCATCGGCAAATGTTTCTTCATATAGACGAGGGAACAAAGGATTTCTCTATTGTCGCGGATTCTCCGAGAGGACGATTTCGACGAGCGCGTTCATTGAGAAACGAGCAATTAATGCAAATATACTCCGCACCCTGGAATGCGTAAGCAAGTGGATTGCCGGTTTGACCCGTCTTCCCTAAGACGCCATAAAGTATCTTCAAGTAGTCAATTAACATTTTTTTTCGGCGGAATAAACGGACAAATCCAAATTTAAAAAAAAAATTACCAGAGCAATCATTGTAATAGAATCCCGTCATCACGTCTGGCAAAAGCAAATAATATTAATTAGCGTGAAGACAAAAATAAACAAAAGTTTATTTAGATCGTAAAGTTCTAATTAAGAGACCACAAGCTGAATAAACAGGATATGAGCACAACGTCTCGATGTATTCTGCGGTAAAATCGGCGACAAGTGACCCATGACATCAACGTCGCACCCCACGAGTCTCAATAAAAGAACGGATCCTCGCGCTCACCTCGAGCGACATCCAAAGGAACGTTAATTAAAAGCTACGTCTAAATTGATCGACCCAGTTCGGGATTGTGGTTCAGTGGCTCGTGATTCATATAATCAATGTAAACAACGCGACTCATTGGTCTCTCGTAGAAAACTAGATGAATTGAAAAGAATCAACGTGTGTGTATGTATGTATATGTGTGTCTTGTGTAACCCTTATTTTATAAATTTATAAATATACATTCAT